ATTTTTTTAGACTGAAATACAGCTTAGTTACTAAGCTTGATAAATTATAGAGGAATTATTTGGCATTGGTATAGTAATTTATGATTTTTTGGGTATTCAACTGTATATATATATATAAAACCTAAAAAAAATTATTTTGTCTCATATCCTCCATGGGCAAAATTTTAAAAGGCTTAGCAACCTATGTCAAGCAGCAACCGAGTACAAAGGTCGTAGCTAGAAGAGATAATTGTTTGCTTTACTTCTATGTTTTAAGAAAAATAAGTTTAAGAACATATTTCTAAATAGTAATAATCTGTATACATATATAGTGTATAATAATTAAAATGTGACTGTATTTTACAAAATACTAGTCTACTACTAAGTCAGTGTTATATTATTGGATATGGTAATTTGAGAGCATGTGAGCCATGTCATTGTAACTTCTGTATTATTAGCCTTGCAAAGCTAAAAGGTCAATATAATAAAAATAATAAATATATATAAATGTATAATGTTATGAGATTTAAGCTATTTAGTCTAAACATTTATGTTTTTGTGTTATAATTTGTTGTATTCTAGAACGAAAGAGGTATAATTTATATTTATTTTCTAATTTTTTATGGTGGTTACAAGATCAGTCAAATCTACCAAACCTGTACAGAGTTGTTAGTAAAAATAACAGAAAAAATATATAGTTTTTCTTAAGAAACTTTTGATAACTATCTGGACATTATAAAGATTTTGCATGTGAAATTTGAATATTTTCTGATGCATAAAAGTATTTTTAATCTTAATATGAAATCCAGCATTGCATAGCTCATTTTTGATATAAAGAGCACCTTGCTATATAAGGCATTTGAATGCAGTCGATAGGGTGCCCTTAATTTTCAGGTTCTACTGTAGTCCAAAGTCTCTCTTCACTTTCTGATGTATCCTTAGTTGTAAATCACATTTTTTTTTCCATAGTATTTTCTAAAAAAATCTTATTTTAACAATCTTGTAGTTATTTTTTTGAAATCTTTCCCCAGCACTTATTGCTTTTATAGAATTTTTATTTTTTCGTAGACTTAATAAAGTTTATTTTCTGTTTGGTAATGCTTGTAATTTCATATTTTATTCTTCAGATTACCAATGAAATGAAAGATTTATTCAGTGTAATAAGAGATGAGCCAGAAAAAACTACGTCATCTAAGAGCATAAAGCCTGATCCAGGATTTTGTATAAAGACCAAAGACAGCAATGAAGAAAAAATTTTCTTGAATATTTGTTGTTCTCCAGAGGTAATTCTTTAAGCACAGTTGATAAAATACTAGAGAAGAGTTTTGTAAATTTTTTTCATAAAACTTTGAATAGACAATTATTCTTAAGATATTAATTTTAAATAATTTTTTTTGGTCAGAGAAGAGGGTTGTCACTGATATATCCTGAATGTTTCCTTTGTGCAGTGAAAATACTTAAACAAATTGTATGAAACTTAGTACAAACATTCTAAATATTATCAAATTTTGATTTAAAGAAAATCACATAATTTGATTTAGTACTTTCTATTTTTCTTTTTTTAAGTGAACTATCCAAAATTTTGTTGTGAGACAGTGTTTTGAAAAAACATGAAAAAATACTTCCTTTTGTTTAAGAATTTAATTTTTTAAACTATTGATAAAAAAATTTCCATTTTATATATCCAGTCAATTTCAACTTGATATTGATTCACATATTTATTTTGATACTTTATTTTGCCAATTGGAGTAATCACCACTTCTGACTGTATTAAAATCATAAATAACAGCAAAAATTGACAGAGACTTATTGGTAATGTGGGACTTCAGTTTTGAAAATGGTGTCATTGTTACATTTGTCAGGTTAGCTTAACAATAATTTTCAATAAAAAAAAAGGAATTGAATTATTCATTTGTCATCACTTACATTGTCAGTTAGCCTAATGAAAAATTATTATGGCATTCAAACAGGTTTATCAGTATGTTATTATTAATTAGTTTTGTTATTGTCTGTATGTCTATTCCACACTGTTGGTTCCATGCTCACACATTACTGAGCTCATATGTTGTTTTTCATGGAATGTTTTAAGTTCTGATGTGAAGCTTGATAAGGGGCAGCTGCCCAGAATGTTTCAAGAAATAATATACAAGTTAGATATTGGTTGTACAGTTTGTTTTTATTGTAAATATATAATTGTCTTGTCTTAACAATTTCATACTCATATTCAGCTGATCAAACACTTAGCTATAGTTAGTTTTTCATAAAATTTCTCAAAGGGAAACTTCATTAAAAATTTACAATTCAAGACAGTTTTGAGTTTTTTTTTACTTCTTGTAGAATTTGAACTTTCTAATGATTTGTGTACTGGAGGTTTGTTTTAGAATCTCTTCATTAATATTCCATTATAAAAACTGTTGATCTTAGAATTAATTAATATTCAATTAGGGCTTAGATGTTGGATAAGCAAAATTTCTATTAATATGAAAGTCCTAACATCAAAAGCACTTCATAGAATCTTCAACCTGGAAATTGTTGGACACTTATCATACTTCTTACAAGTAATGTTAATGTAAGATATAAGCATTACACCAGGCTTCAGATGTTCTTTTACACGTGCAGAAAGATAATGATGCCTCTGATTTCAGGACTTCGTGTTAGAGACTTTGCTAATCCAATGTGTAAAGTTTGCAATTAATGTTAACCTATATAATATTCAAATTTCCTTTGAAAACAGAGATTTATATTGAGTAGACAAAGTTAATATACTTGTCTTTTCATAGTGTAAATTGCCTTTCTAAGCATATTTTTTCTAAGCTCATGTTTTTGCTGCTAAAGAATCACATTTGTTTAACAGAAACTTATGATTAGTTGAACCATTTTCAAAATGCAAAAAATTGACTCGTTACACATGTAACTCCCTCTATTCAATTTTACCAGACTGTCACTTCTTGCGTGGCAGTACTCGTATTCTAACATTTAGTTTGTGCTCTCTTCAAGTATTTTATTTTAATATTTTTCTGTATCTTTGTATTAATTTCTCTCGCCAAGTTTACTCTATATTGTACAATAGTGATATTTGTAACTCGTTGAGTTATTCCAAAATGGAACTATTTTATACTTTTACCTGGTTACGGAACTTATAACTTCATTACAAAAAACTTTTATTGTTTCTGCCAACACAGTTGTGTTTGTTTATTTATTTTGCATTATGAATTTTCTGTTACCACTTTAGAGGTTACATGTGCTATTATTAGCACTTTACACAGGCTTCAGGTCTTGGTACTCCGCGGGTAGATTTTTCAGTTTTATTTCCTCGGGAGATTGATCATCCTATGAACTGACTTTCTTCAGGCCTCACCTTGAGTTTGGGGGCCCACACACTTGCAATACAGTTAGCCGACTTTAGAAAGATAAGATGTTATACTATTATGGCTTTTGTTTACTTTTATTGTTAATATTATTATATGTCGTTATTTGGGTTCCATGACATAAGTTTCATTATATTGGTTCATACTCAGAGTCAAGTTGAGGTTCACCAATAGTCTTAGGTGTTTCTACTATTCCATTTGCTTAGACTTACCATGGACTTCGTTATTTTTAGAATGACCTGTCATTCATCTAACTGGTATATCTGTCATTAATTTCACTTTATTGTTTTTCTTCCTATTCACTTGGTTTGTGTGGAACTCTTGAGGTGGGGTATAATATTGAGAAGTATCTCAATATTATACATACTTATTGTTTGGTTAAGTATTTCTTTTAGGGCTTTGTGATATTGTTTGTTATGTATTGTTCAATTAGGCTTTTCAAATATTTATTTTAGGTTTACCAGTAGTTCTACTTCCATGCTAATCATTAATTAGATCAAGTATCTTGTTCAAATAAGCTTAATAAGTGTCTGTTATTTTCTGTTTCCCCATGGGTTTTTTTATGGGTTTATTGATGTTTAAGTTGTTTATCTTTTTTTCAACACAGAACATCACATCCATATGTTTATTTCACTACACAATTTCTTACCATTAATTTCATTCAATTTATACTTTATACTTCTTGCCTTTAGTTTTGTTTGTCAGGGGTCCTGGGGGAAGAGACCCACCCTACCAGCTCCCAATAGTGTTCATCTTCCTCCTATAATGGCAGAACATCATTTTTAGATGACCTAGATTTTGTCAGTTTTCCTCCACCTTCTCATGAAGTGCATTTGAGGCCTCCACTGCAGAATGTGCCAGGCCTATCTAAGCTAATTTTTTGACATGTTTCCTCTCCTTACTCCACTTTTTTGACTGTTATATTTTTCTTCCACCTTTACCGCCACCAAATTTTAAAAAATAATATTATGTATACAAGTTCTTTTTTGCCAATTGTACAAAATAAATGGCTTTTACTTATATTTCTTAATAGTATAAATAAATATATATATATATATATATATATATATA